CTCAGCTAGGGGAAAATGCCCCCTCCGAAGGGGAATCCCGGCGGTGGCCTTGGAACGACCCTTCGGAAGGGTCCTTCCGAGGCTACCGCCGGCATTTTCCCCCAGCTGAGCAGCAGGGCTCCCCCTCAGCTAGGGGAAAATGCCCCCTCCGAAGGGGAATCCCGGCGGTGGCCTTGGAACGACCCTTCGGAAGGGTCCTTCCGAGGCTACCACCGGCATTTTCCCCCAGCTGAGCAGCGGGAGCTGTCCTTTGGAGGCTCCCGCCACTCAGCTGGGGGAAAATGGGGCCCATGGGGAAAACATCGCAAAGCGATTTTTCCCCATAGGCAACATCGCAAAGCGATGGCAAAAGAGATTGCTTTTTTGCCATCGCTATGCGAATTCATCGTTAACCGGGGCACTCGTTAAACGAGGCACCACTGTATACTGAAGGCAGAAACATTCTTAGAACAAGAGACAATGCATATTTAAATCTAGCTCAGAAATTTTTTGTGAGATACTAAAATCTCAAAAATAAACTTCATTAAAACTAGAGATCTCCCTGGTACCAGTTCAGGATACAACTATACTGGTCATTTACCCCACAATTTGCAAAAGATTAAGCACAGATGAATTCAAATTAAAGCGGATTGCCCACCTGACAAAAAGCTCAATGTGGGAAAACCCACTGAGGAAGTATTTCTTTTTACAGTGAATCATTATTTTTGGTCAGTCATCAGAGATGGCTTAAATATGCTCCAAACAGGCTGGCATTGTTTTTGTCTGCTCTCTGCCCAGTATGATCTACTGGCAAATGGGTGCTTGCAGGGATGTTCAACTGGGCACCTGTTGTCTGCAATCAGAGTGTCCCCACGCCCGAACACTCTCAAGGCAGTGTTGTAACACCATATCATTAGGTCACTTCAAGAAAAGTAAATATTTTTTCTGAAGATGTGGAAATAATACAGATCTCTGCCTCTGTTCCTGCTAATAACTGCAAATTTTCTGATGTCTGGTGGCTACGGTGATTTCCCCTGTGGAAACCCAACTTGAAAAAATGCAGATCACAATGGATCCAACCATATTTTCCCTGCTGTGTAGTCATACCCTCAAGACCTTTGACGCTCATTATCTACAAAATCTATAGGAAAAATTAAGGAATTAGAATTGTGCAAGTTGCATTCTATTAAACAGTGATGAGTCTTATTTTTAAAAAAGGCCTGCCATTACACATTGATTGTATGATTGAACAAAACGAGTTCAAATATACTGTATATAGTCCCAGCTTAAACCATTTTAGTTAAAATTTGCAACATTCCACATTTGTCTCACCAGAGGAACTTGAAGTCTCATCTTTCTTTTCCTCTTCCTCTTTGTCATTATTTTCACCTCCAGTTTCAGTTCCAGCTTCTCTATCACTATCTGTATCCTTAGACTCCAGTACATTTATAGTTGGAGTGCTAGGCCTACTGGTGTTATTTGGGAGCCTTCCCCTTCGGCGCCCCCCTGGGCGCTTTGGTGGTGTTTTTATTCGCTCAGCAGTTAAAGCAGCTGCAAACTCTTTAGCTCCTTCCTAAATATGAAGAGAAACAAAGATAGCAAGGAAAGGAGCTGTAAAAATATTGGCCAAAAGTAGAGAGCTGTGTTAGGCATGCCCTAGGGCAGGGGTGGCAAACCTTTTTGAGCCTAAGTGCCCAAACTGCAACACAAAACCAATCACGTCCGTCCCGAAGAGTCCCACTCCTCCAGCCACACAACCTCCAGCACCTGCCCTGGACACTCCCTGTTCCGCTTCTGGCTGCAATCCTTAAAGGAGAAGGCAGGAGCTGGGTGTTTCCATGCCTGGCATCCACGCATGTGTGTGTGTGTGTGTGTGTGTGTGTGTGTGTGTGTGTGTGTGTGTGTGTGTGTGTGTGTGTGTGTGTGTGTGAGAGAGAGAGAGAGAGAGAGAGAGAGAGAGAGAGAGAGAGAGAATGTGTTTGTGGCGACGGTGGTCGTTGCTGTCTTGAATCTCCCTCCTTTCCTAAGAGTTCTTCCTGAAATCTGGGATCAGAGGATGGGTAAGTATTTCTCGATGGTGACTTATGGCTTGTGTGCCCACAGAGAGGGTTCTGCATTCCAGCTGTGGCATGCCTGCCATAGGTTTGCTATTGCTGCCCTAGGGACTTGTATATCAGAAAATTTATAACTTCTTCTCTCCTATCCACCCATCTGAACAAGAGCATACAACAAGACCTTAAGAGTTTCAGATGAGAACGCTCTAATGGCACAGAGAACTGCTTTTCAAGGAATTCACGTGCAAATCTTCCTTGGGGGCTTAGTGCCAGTCCGCCTTCTCTTCTCTTCTAGATTAGGCTTAGATTAGAAGTATCATTTAAAATAATTTAAGGAAGCAATTGCTTAGCAAAATGTTAACAAGCTTTTCATGTTCACAACCTACTCTCTCCTTTGAGAAACGTTTGTGAAGTACTTAAAGGTAAAGGTAAAGGTAAAGGTAAGGTTCCCCTTGACAATCTAGCCGCCTAGAGTGGGCGAAATGACTAGATAGGCGGGGTATAAATACAATAAATAAATAAATAAATAAAATAAATTTTTGTCCAGTCATGTTCGACTCTAGGGGGCGGTGCTCATCCCCGTTTCCAAGCCATAGAGCCAGCGTTTTGTCCGAAGACAATCTTCCGTGGTCACATGGCCAGTGCGACTTAGACACAGAACGCTGTTACCTTCCCACCGAGGTGGTCCCGATTAATCTACTTGCATTTGCATGCTTTCGAACCGCTAGGTTGGCGAGAGCTGGGACAAGCGACGGGAGCTCACTCCGTCGCGCGGATTCGATCTTATGACTGCTGGTCTTCTAACCCTGCAGCACAGGCTTCTGCGGGTTAGCCCACAGTGCCACCACGTCCCTTAATGTGAAGTATTTACTTCATTTAAATTACATGGTAATAAAAAACCTCACTGTCTGTCTGCTCATAGTCTGAGCCCCAACCTTCATAAAACTATTTTTAGTATGAAGGCTTTTTATGTAAGCAGACACAATCAGCATTTTGAAAGATTTACTCATTTCATACTTGCAAATTCTTAGATGGATAGACAAGGCAATTCAAGAGCAGTCTGGTTAAGTCATATTAATTTAGTTAGGCCACAGCAGAGTAACAGTACTACTTACAAAGAATAATTTCAGCCTCATTCACATAAACCTTTCTGTGCCTGATATACGAAATGGCAAAAGTAGATCTCTCAATGTAGCATGGTATGGTTTTCTATGTTCCACGAAATTTCACCACCAGTTTTTTTTAACTCTATGGCTACCATTTGGTCTTAGTGAGGAAATGGTTAAAATGATGTCTTTCATAAAGAAGGAAGGAATAACCAAAGTGAAACTCTGAATGAAACTCCGGTTATATCACCTGATGTAATTACATAAGATGCCTAGTAGCCAAAACAAGAGGTGCAGGTCTTACTTGCATCAGATTTCTCTTACAGGCGGGCAAGAAAATTATCTAATTAGCAGCTGCTATTTCTTTGCTGGAACACACTAGGCATGTTTTTTTGGAATTTTGTGGACTACAAATGCCATAATTCATCATTCTGGGAGTTCAGACATTTAAATCTGCCTCACCAACCATACAATCATGAAGTTGGAAGGGGCCTATAAAGCCATCAAGTCCAATCCCCAGCAAAGTACAGGAATATAAATCAAAGGATATCTGCCAGATGGTTATCTAAATTTCCCCTGAATGCCTCCAGTGTTGGAGCACTCACTACCTCTCAAGATAACTGATCCCACTGGCATTCTGCTCTAACAGTTAGAACTTCTTCCCTGATATTCAATCAAAATCTGGCTTCCTGTAACTTGAGCCCAATGTTGCGTGTCCTGCACTCTGGGATGCTTTCTTTCCTCATAAGGCTTGGTTTCCAACCCCAGATCATCCTTGCTGCCCTCCTCTGAACTTGTTCTAATTTGTTGGCATCCTTCTTGAAGTGAGGCATCCAGAACTGGATAAAATACTCTAGATGAGGCCTAACCAGGGCCGATTGGAACGAATGCCTCACAGCATAATACTTCTCTTAATGCAGCCTAAAATAGCATTTGACTTATTTGTAGCCACATCACACTTGTGAATATGAGCCAATGACTCCAAGATCCTTCTTGCTCGTAATAATGCTGAGACAGGTATCCCCCATCTTGTGTGTTTGGTTTCTTTTTCCATTGTGTAGTACTTTGCACTTGAATTTCATTCTCTTGTTTTCAGCCCAGTGCTCCAGCCTATCAAGATTATTTTGAATTTTGTTTCTGTCTTCCAGGGTGTTACCTATTCCACTCAATTTTTTGACATCCACAAATTTGATTAGCATTCCCTGTATCCCCTGATCTAGGTCATTAATAAAAATGTTGAAGAGCACAGGGCCCAGGACTGAGCTCTGGGGTACCCACTTCTTACCTCCTCCCAGTTTGAGAAGGAGCCATTAATCATCATTCTCTGAGTACAATTCTGTAGCCAACTGTGTATCCATCTGACAGTTATATCCAGCCCACACCTAGTTAACTTACCAATCAAAATATAAAGGGGCACTTTGTTAAAAGCTTTTCTGAAGTCAAAGTGTACTATGCCAAAGCAGAATTTGAGTTTTTGTTGCAGAATTTATATTAGCTTGGTAGAAGCAGCAGTAATGGTATATGACGAAGAGGAAAAAGTGCCAGTTTGTTCAGGTCCATCTGCAGCCGACAAAATCAGCCAATAGAGCTAAATAAACAACAGAAATAATCCAAGACTGCTGTTCACAGCTAACACGGAATGTTCAGGAAAGGCACTACAGAATTTCTTTATCACAGTGATTGATTTAACATGTCTCACACTCCACATAAAAAGACAGCATAAGCCCTCCTTGTGTTGGAGAGAAACACATTTGTTCAACCATCAGTTTGTGAGGTTTCCAGTATCTTACATAAGCCATTTTAACATCTAGCAAATCACAAGTCTTATTTGATTCAGTTATTTCTTCCTGGAACTGCTAAACAAAATCACAATTTTATCAGCAAATGTAACTTTCTTTCTATCCAAAGAGTGGAAAAAATTACAAAAGGGAGGGGAATTGTCTTACCAGATGCTGATAACAATGTGGTCCACAAGGTTTATTATCTATTGCCGTTTCTGTGTTCTTCCGTTTGTAAGTATTAGGAGTTGCGTGGAATGCTACAGAAAATTTCAAAATAAGTGTAATAAACATGGTTGTATAAAATATTTACAAAGATCAATTTTCTAAAATTTTACCAAACACCAATCAAGATTTTCTTTTCAAGCAGCATGAAGAGAGAGAGAAAGTACCTCTTTTGTCAACCACAGAGGTCTGTGATGGATTTTCATTCCAATTTTTTATTAACAACAAACATAAAACATAAGACATTATAAATATAATATTAAAGTTGAGGACTGATGATGTCATCATCATTTATATCATGTATTGCGTTTGGAGAGGAGACAAGAAGAAGTCAACTTTGGGAAATTCCCACCCGCAAAACAAGAGGTTTGCTATGGGAGGGTTCTACATCCATTCATAAGATGTCATGGTGCAACTGGACCATGCGGCCAGGAATAGGACATAAATATCATGCTACCTGTATTGATGTGTGTGCCTAACCAGTTAGGACACCTGCTTTTGCAAAAGTGCTTTTTAATAAAGGAGGGCTGCTTGCATTCGTGGTTGTCTGGTTACTGCATTTTTTAATTTTTTTATTATTATTAAAAGAATACAAAATACACCTACTACTACAGAAAAAAAATTATAAAATACAAAACAAAACAGTACAATTACCCATGTGCACCCATCACCTTCAGGACTAGCATTACACTTCATTCCATCCATTTTCACTCCAAAATTTCATTGTTTCTTCCCTCGGTGTAAACCCCCTCCCTCTCCGAAATACATGTTCTAAAAATACATTCCATATTTTCTTAAAATCATTATTTTTCATTTGGCCTCTACTTATTTTCATATCACATGTCAGTTTATCATTAATAGCCATGTCCCATAATTCTCTATACCATTCCTCCAGGTTAAATTGATTTTCATTTCTCCAATTCCTTGCCATAATTATCCTTGCTGCCGTAATCATTATTACTATTAAATCCTTATTTTCTTTCGCCAGTTGATCTTTAATCATATTCAATAAAGCTATTATTGGAGACATTGGGATATTCAATCCAATTATTTCAGATATTTCTTTAAATATTAATTTCCATTCTTTCTTTTTTCACATAGCCACCACATATGTAAATATATCCCCTTCTCTTTTTTGCAACTCCAACATAATGTTGACACAGTTTTGTCCATCATATTCATTTTGACCGGCGTTAAATACCACCTCCATATTACTTTATAACAGTTTTCTTTTATCCTTACTGACATGTTC